TTTTTGCCGCGGGCGACCCCAGAAAACGCCGGGCAACGTCGAGCAACAAAAAAACAATAAGAACAACAAACAAAACACCAACGCAAACAACGCACAACAACACCATACAACAACATACAACACCAGACAACACCCAGACAACATCCAGACAACATCCAGGGGCGCGGCAGGGGCACGGGAGGGGCGCGGGAGGGGCGCGGGGGGAGGGGCAGGGGGGGCGCGGGAGTAGGGGCACGGGAGGGGCACGGGAGACGCGGGAGGGGCGCGGAAGGGGCGCGGGGGGGCGGCGGAGGGGTTCGGAGACAGGGGGGGGGGGGGGGCGCGGGCGGGGCGCGGGAGGGGCGCGGGGGCGGCGCGGGAGGAGCGGCATAGTGGCGGCATGTTTAGGGGCGGGCGCGGGAGGGGGGGGGCTCGGGAGGGGCGCGGGAGGAGCGCAGTCTTTGTTTCAAGCGTGAGTGTCGAGCGCACGGCTCGACGGCATAGAACGTCGAGCTCGCGGCTCGAGCGTCGAGCGCGCGTGCTGCGAGCCGTTCGCGCGGGCGGTGCCCCCCTGCAAGCTGACGCTCTTATCGGCATCAGGCGCAGCGCTGCGGGAGCGAAGAAGGCGATTGCGATGGTGAGATCGCGATGGTGAGATTGCCACTGTGAGATTGCGATGGTGAGATTGTGAGGGGGGAAAGGGGGCGGCAGATGCCCAGCTGCGGCGCAGCCCTCGCATGCCGCGGCCGATGTGCATGTGCACCCCCGTGCGCGCCTCGACGATCTGGCTGATCGTCTCGTCGGCCGCGCTGAACGTCGCCATCTCGTTCGAGAACGCAGCCTCGGCGCCGTCGAGGGAGCGCAGGATCTGCGACGACGCGCGGGGGCAGCGCTTGATGTCGTCCTGGAGCGCCCTCAGCTCGCCGATGCTGATGGTGACCATCTGGGCGTTGTCCACCGCCGCTGGCGACTGGCGAAGGCTCACCATCGGCATGCTCGACGCCAGCGGCATGCTCGACGAGGCTGGTGCTGCTGCTGGATCCTCTACTGCAGGCGGAGGTCCAAGTGGACGTGGGGCACTTGAGAGCCCGAGCCTGCTGGCAACAATCTCGGCAATCTCTCCCTTCTGCTGCTCCGAGATGCCTCCCTTGTTGCTGCCTCCGCGCTGGCGCTTGTTCTGGCCGCGGCGATCGTATTCGGCATCTCGGCGCTTCTTCTCATTCTTCTCTTCCCCCCGCTGCGTCCACCTGATGTGCTCGCCGTCGCGCTTGCTGATGGTGTGAGTCTCGATGGGCAACGAATCGATCAGCTCCTTGATCCCTTCGTCGTCGAGATGCTCGAGGTCGCCCCTGTGCTCATCGCGAGACTTCAGGTGCCTGAAGACCTTGTAGCGAGCATCGTCTTCCGAAACCCACGACTGGCACCGATGCCACTTGCGACTCCACGCCTCTATGCTGCAGTTCTCGGGGGGCGGGCGCTCGTGGAACCACCGCCGCGCGCGGTGCTCGTTGTCGGCGGCCATCTCTGCAGGGCGAGGCGGCGAGGGGCGCGCTCGCGAGCGGTCGAGCCGCTGATGCGAAGGCCACGGAACGGGGGCTTCGGCCGCCTCCTCGAGCCAAGATGCAACCGCGCGGCGAAACCAATGCGAAGCTGAAGGGCGATAGCAACGCGCAAAGCGGTCTCACCGCTATCTGGAGGGCGGTGGCAACGCGCGAAGCGGTCTGCCCGCTATCTGACTGGCGATGGCAACGCGCAAAGCGGTCTGGCCGCCATGTCGGAGGAGGGTGGGCGCGCGAAGAAGGAGGGGGTGCAAGCTGGAATTGGTGGATGGGGAGATGGAGGAAGGGGAATAGGCAGAGCGGTCTGGCCGCTACGTGGGAGGAGGAGGGGTTACAGGAAACAGAGGAAGAACAAACGGTATTGATGGAAGGGAGAAGGAGGGGCAATGCGCATGCGGAATCGGCAAAGCGGTCTGGCCGCTGGAAGTTGAAGAACAAAGGTGAAGAGCACGCCATGTTTCATTCGCGCGAGGGCCGAGGCGGCCAGGTCGCTCGGCAAAGGCGGGCGCGCGGGCCGAGGCGGGCCGAGGCATGCCTGCAGGCGCCAAGTGCGAACGAGCATCGTTCTCCTCTTCCTCCTCCTCCTCCTCCTCCTCCTCTTCCTCCTCCTCCTCCTCCCTCCTCCACCTCCCTCCCTCCTCCTCCTCCTCCGCCATTAAAAGCGGCTTGTGGCGGCCCTTCACTGCAGCGACTTGTGGCAAGTTCCTCGCTGCAGCGGCCTCGCTGCAGCTCCTCGCTGCAGCTCCTCGCTGCAGCGGCCTCGCTGCAGCTCCTCACTGCAGCTCCGCGGCCTCGCGGCAGCTCCTCGCTGCAGCGGCGGGGGCGGCGGCGGCTTCGATGCAGGCTGTATCTTCGCCTTCGCAAGCTGGTAGAGGGCCGGCGTCTCCTCGACATCGCGAGGGCGCGGGTTGCTGACCTTGAACCTCGCGAGCGCCTCTGGGCCCTGCTTCTTGGCGGCGTTCAGCATGCGGTAGTAGTCGCGATGGCGGCCGCCGCTGATGCCGTAATTAACGCGCCTGACCGCCGCCCACGCCCGCCCTCCGCGGCTCTCCGTTCGGAGCCCGCCGGCCGCGCGGGCCGGGGGGGCGCGCGCGCGGGGCCCCAGCCTTCGGAGGCGGCGGCGGCGCCGCAGGCTGCGTCGCCGCGGGGGGCGGAGTTGCAGGCTGCTTCGGCGCGCCGGGCGCCTCCGGATGCGGCGGCGGCGCTGCAGGCTGCGGCGGCGCGGGGGGCGGCGTTGCAGGCGGTTGAGGCGTCAGCGCCTTCGGAGGCGGCGCTGCGGGTCCTGGCTCCGCCCATGGCGCCATGCATGGCGCGGCTTTCATGCGCGTCGGCAGAAGCTGCTGTTGCGGCTGCTGCTGCGCTGCTGATGCGCTGCCTGCCGGCGGGGAGACCAGCTGCACGGGCTGTTTCGGCTCGCTTCTCGTCGCCGTGTCCTCCTGCTCCACTGCGTTGCGGTGCTTTGACGTAGTAATGAGCTTCGGCTTCTTGCGCACTGGGCTCGTCGGCGCGCGAGGAGCAGGCGTGTCAAGGCCGTGGTGGCGATCGAGCGCCCGCGCTTTGGCCTGGCTGATGCGAAGGGCGGCCTCCTCCGTGTTCGTGCGCTGATGCCGTGGCCGCGGGATGCCGTGCGATGTTGCTTGCGGTGCTGCTGCTGCTGCAGCTGGCGCTGGTGCTGCAACTGCGCTGGTGCTGCCGTGCGCTGGTGCTGCAACTGCAGCAGCTGGTGCTGCTCCAGCGCCGTGCGCTGGCGCTGCCCCGCCGCCGCGCGCTGCTGCAACTGCAGCAGCTTCCCGGGGCGCGCGCGAGAGGGGCGCGGGAGGGGGGGCAGGGGGGGCACGGGAGGGGGGCACGGGATGGGGCACGGGGGGGGGGCACGGGAAGGACACGGGAGCGACGCGGGAGGGGCGCGGGGGGAGGGGCATGCGGGGCGCGGGAGGGGCGCGGGAGGGACACGGGAGGGGGAACACGGGAGGGGCACGGGAGAAAGAGAGAGGCGCAGAGAAAGCGTGGAGTTGTCTTCGCCACGCAGGAAACACAGCGGGTCCACGTTCTCCAGGTTGAGGAACGCGCCCATGGCGCCGCGCAGGGCGCAGGGCGCGGCGTGGGCGGCCGCGCAAGCGGCCAGGCCGCTGAAGCAAGCGCAAGCGGCTGGCCGCTATAATAAGCAAGGTTGACACACAGCATGCGACAAAAACGGTCGGGCCGCTATAACAAGCAAGTTTGACAAACGCCTTGCGCAAACCCGACGTAAGCACCAGGCAGAGCGTCCAGGCCGCCGTCGCAAACGTCATAGGCACGAGATGATGCAATCTTAGATGTTTGTATGGCGCCAGGACTGCGGACATGCAATCGCGGCGACAATATTTTCAGCACCGACGCAAACCTCACGTCGCGCTCGAGAGGGATTCGCGGCCCTGGGGGACGTGCACGCTGCTCTTCTTGCACGCGTCCTTGCAGACCTTGACGGCCTGCAGGTTCAGCAACAATAATTGCTCCTCCATGCGCTCCCCTACTCTCCCCTCCCCCCTCCTGCCGCGCATTCTCCCACCTTCCCCTCCTTTATCCTGCCCTCCTCCCCCGCGGGGCCCCTTCCCCCACCCACCCCCCCGCGGGCCTCCATCGTGGCGGCTTGCTTCGTCTTCGCGGTGCGCGGGGGGCTCATGGAACCCCGCGCGTCCGCAACGCCATTAAAGCGGATCAGGAAATTGTCCCGCGTGGCTTCGTCGTGCAAGCGCGGCAACTTCACGGCGGTTTTCGGACCAGCGGCTGCAGGGAGCTTGGCGGGTTTTGTCGTCTTCGGGGGTGCTGCAGATTGGTCATCGCGGCTCTTGGCTTCATCTTCTGTCTTTGCCCTTTTCCGCCCCTTCATCTGGGCGTCTTAGGCCTTCGTAATTCTGTCGGCTGCTTCAGCTACTGACAGCTTCGGCTTCGATCCCGTCGCGGCGTCAACTTTGGGCTTTGAGTCTGCAGGCGGTGCCTCAGCTGCTGCTGCTGGTGACGCGCCTGCTGCTGGCGCGAGGTTTGCTGCTGGTGCTGCAGCGCGCGCTGCTGGTGCTGCTGGCGCGCCTGCTGCTGGTGCTGCTGCGCGCGCTGCTGCTGGCGCGAGTGCTGCTGCTGCTGCTGCTGCGCACGCTGCTGGTGCTGGCGGTGCAACAAGTGCTGGGGTAGGCGCTGGTGGTGCAGCAATCGCTGCCACGGCATCTTGGAGTGAGCTCGAGGTTGGCGGTTTCTCACTCGGAGACCCAATCAGAAACGCTGAGACAGGGTTCGGGTTCGGCGCTGCCCCGCTCGGCTGCCCTGAGATCGTTGCTGGAGCACCTGGTGCTGCATTCCCTGGATCTGCTGCTGCACCGGCAACAGCGATGGCATCATCGATGTTACCACTTGCGCGACCATTTCGGGAGATGCGCCCTGGCTTGGCTGACGCGGCTGCTGATGTGAAGGGAAGGATGTTGGAGCCACCTGTCTCGAGGGAGCCCGATGCATCCCGCTGCTCTTCGGGGCGCCCGTAGTTGCAGCCCGACCTGTGCGCTGGCGCATGTTTGGCGGCCTTCTTGAGGACACTCCATTGGACGGGGTCGAGATCGAAGCGTTTCGGCTGCTGCAAACTGTACGCCCGCATGTACACAGCGGAATGCTCGATCTGAAGAATCATCGGCGCCGCTGGCAACTTCGTGATGACAGGAACTGGCAGCGTCTTCTTAGCTGCCCTCTGTGCGAACAGCGTGCCGACTGCCAACGCCGACTGTGTCCTGGTGTCAGCGTCGATCTGAAGAGCGCCTTCAAGCCCTTTCCCTGCTTGCAGGAGCAGGCAGGCCATCGCGTGCTTCGTCGGCTCCGAAGCTTTGCGCAGCCCCAGGTCAATCAGAAAGTCGAACAGTATGTTTGGATTTCCTGAAGGCAGGGAATCCCACATTGACTGGGGCAAGAACTCGGTGAGCGTCTCCCACTCCTGGTAGTTCGCGATGGCAATGCAATGATCGCCATCGGCAGAAACCAGCTGCGAAATGGCGGCGTTGATGCTCGCCCTGTCGCATTCGAGAAAACGTGACTCCGCGATCGCACCCAAAATCGGTTGAAGCTCCTCTGGCGGCAACCTCGCCATCTTGAGCTCCCGGATGAGCTGCGCCGATTGCGAGCGCGACACCGAGGCGAACTGCGCCTGCTCGCCTATAGCCGCCAGGTTTGAACCGACTGCGGCGATGCGCCGAAGGATTCCTGCGGAGTCCATGCCGCGCGCGCCGCCGTCGCCGCGGCGACAGCGCTCGAACCGTCGTCGCGGCTGCGGCGCGTTGGCGCGGCGCGTCGAAAGATATTGCCGAGCGGTCAGTCCGCTGATGCGAGGGGCCGCTCCTGCTGCCCCTCCTCCTTCTCATCCTCTTCACCCCTCTCCATGCAGGCAACAAGCGGGCAGGCCACAAGCCGATGTTGCCCGCAAGGATGTTGCGCGCGGGCGATGCGGTCAATCCGCTTTGCGCGTTGCTATCGCCCTTCAGATACTTCGTAAAAGTGAACAAGGTAATCTGCAAAGCGGTTTGGCCGCTGTAGAATGAAGAAGGGAGGGCAGGGTTAATGATAATATGATATGCCAAGCGGCGCGGCCGCTGTAGAAAAGGAATATCATAACAAAATGATAATATGATGGCAAGCGGTCTGGCCTCAGAAGGGGAGGGGAGAGCAGGAGTGATACAAATGCAATGTCAAGCGGTTTGGCCGCTGTAGGAAGTGAGCAGATGAAGAAAGAGATCCCCCCGCGGGCGCCTCGCTGCATCTTCAGAGCTGCAGGTGGGCGAGCGCCTCCTCGCCCCTCTTGGCAGCAACGTTCTGTGGGGGCATCTTTATACATATATATATATATATAAACAAAAAAGTAATCGGACATGCAGACAAATCGTGAACATTTTGAAAAAATAATGATAAATCGTGACAAATAATGAAAACTAGTTAAATACAGACACATAGTGAACAATAGTGAAAAATAGTGAAATACACACAAATATTGACAAATCGTGAAAATATTGAAAAATCGTGAAAAAATATTGCAAAATATTGAAAAAAATGTAAAACATACATTTTCAACTTGCGATGGTTTTAGGAACTGTTAGCCTCCTATGGGTCACAATAGATACCTAATCGTCATTAGTGCTAATGGCCACGCTATACAATCCTACATCACATCCTAACCTATCCTAAACAATCTTAAACCATCCTAACATACCATCACTATAACCATTTATAAATACTTATTGCTTCGCGCTCATCAAAGCTATAGGCACTGGACACCGGGCACTGGGCGCCGGACACTGGGCACCGGACACCGGACACTGGACACCGGACACCAGACACCGGACACTGGACACCGGGCACCGGGCACCAGACACCAGACACCGGACATTGGACACCGGACACGGGACACCAGACACCGCGCAGCGGGCACCGGACGCTGGGCACCGGACACCCGACACCGGACACCGGACACCAGACACCGGACACCGGACACCGGACACTGGACACCACACACCAGACATTGGACACTGGACACTGGACACCGGACACCGGACACCGGACACCAGACACTGGACACCGGACACCGGACACCGGACAAGGGACACCGGACAGTGGACGCCGCACACCAGACACTGGACACCGGACACCGGACACTGGACACCGGGCACCGGGCACCGGACACTGGTCACCGGACACCGGACACCAGACACCAGACTTTGGTCACCGGACACCAGGCACCGGACACCAGACACCGGACACGGGACACCGTGCACCGGACACAGGACGCCGCAAGAATCGTCCATTCTTTGGCAAGGGGTGCATCTTGCATGCGCGCGCGGTGGCAGCGGCTCAGCGCTACATGCGCCTCGTCGGGCAGGATGCGAATCATCGGATCGGGCCCCCCATCGCTCCTTGTGGCCATGGCGGCGCCGATGGTCCTGGCGCTGCAGCCTGTTGCGAAGGAAGCGCAGGACATTTAAGCGGAAGCGGTGGGCCTCGCGGCCCTGGCGAAGCGGCTGAGAGGCGAGATAATGGAGTTAGCAGCAGAGCGCATCATGCATTGGAGGGCCAAGTCCACGCATCTGAAGGAAGGAGAGGATATGAAAGTGCGTCGCACATTCTACGCGCGCGCGTTTTTTTCCGATCGGGGGGCCGCCGAACGCGTTGATTGCGCCGGCCAACCTGTTGATTTCGAAGTGCTTCTTGAAACTCTGGCCTCGGCCCGAACCAGGGCCGCCGCCACGAGCGGGGCCCGAGAGGAATCTCCAGAAATCGTTGCAGAGAATGCTGAACGGGGGCAAGCACAAGAAGTGGTAGAAGGCTCTGGAGATATGCAGATAGCATGGGATGAACTACTTCAGGTTTCAGGCTCGGGAGTCTCGCAAGATCTGAGGGGACTGAGTCGTAGTCAGTCAGTGTCTGTAAGTACCTTCGGAACCGAGGGGCCCAGGCAGTGTGTTTCTGAGAGAGGGAGAGCCCAATTTTCGGGCCCCTGGGCCCCCCCGCAAATTCAGCCCAAACGTCGGCCACGTAAAAGTAAAGGAATGGGCCGAGGTAGAGGCCAGTCTTAAGTGATGAGGCCTTTTCTAGAATGACTGTTGTGTTTCTCCACCTGCCTCCGCCTCTCTGTTCCCTGTCCCCTCGTCCTCCTGTGGTTGTGTCCTCCTGTGTCTCGCTTTCCCTCTCCCTCGCTCCTGTGTGTGTTGTGCGTGTGACGGTGTGTGCGTGTGTGTGTGTGTGTGTGTGTGTGTGTGTGTGTGTGTGTGCGTGTGTGTGTGTGTGTGTGTGTATGTGTGCGTGTGCGTGTGTGTGCGCGCGTGTCTGCTGAGACGTTTGACTTCTCACTCTCGGGATCTGGTGCCACTGCGCACTGTTCGGGGTGTTTCCGTTAGGCTTCTAGACCCTAACGATTTCTATGGTGTTCCCTGGTTTGAAATCTAGTCGTGACGGGAGTGCCGACTTTGAAGTTTCGCGAGGGGACCTTTCTCTTTTTATGCGCACAGCGGGCAACTGTAGTCGTCTGAGCATTGCAGACTCGACCAGATGCTGAGTGCCACCGCCACCACCACCTCCTTCTCCTCCCGCTCCTCCTCCCGTTCCATCACTGTTTTTACCCTCCGCATGTTGCTGCCGTGACGCATCCCGAAACGCACCCCTCACATGTTTCCTGGCCCCATGGGGGCCTCCACCGAAGGCCCCCGCTGGCAGCGCTCGCGTGCGCCCGCCGCCCCTATTGCGCTGTGCCCCTCACGCGTTTCGTGACCCCATAGGGAGCGCCACCGAAGGGCCCAGTGGCTGCGTTCGCATGCTCCCGCCGCACCCATTTCGGCACACCCCTCACACGCTACGTGGCCCCATGGGGAGCTTGATCGAATGCTTGGGTGGCTGCGTTCGCATGCGCCCGTCGCGCCCATATCGGCACACCCCTCACAAATTTCGTGGTCCCACGAAAGGCCCACTGGCTGCGCTCGCATGCGTCCGCCCCGCCCATTCCGGCACGCCCCTCACGTTTCGTGGCCCCGTAGGGAAGTCCACCGAAGGCCCTGGTGGCTGCGCGCGCATGCGCGTGCCGGACCCATTTCTTCGGTACAATTCTCACACGTTTCGTGATCCCATATAGGGGCTCCACCGAAGGCAGCTGTGGCTGCGTTCGCATGCACCCGCCGCACCCATTTCGGCACACCCGTCACACGTTCCGTGGCCCTATGGTGAGCCCCGCCGAGGGCCGCAGTGGCTGCGTTCGCCTGCGCCCGCCGTACCCATGTCGGCACACCCCTCACACGTTTCGTGGGCACAAGCAGCTTCACCGAAGGCCCCAGTGGCGGTGTTCGCGTGCGTCCGCCGCACCCATTTTCGGCATACCCTTCCGTCGCCCTATAGGGGAGCGCCACCGAAGGCTCCAGTGGCGGTGGTCGCATGCGTCCGCTCCGATTTTCTCCGTACATCCTTCACACGTGTCGCGGCCCCATACGGAGCTCCACCAAAGGCAGCAGTGGCGGTCGCATGCGTCCGCCCCGCCCATTTCGGCAGACGTCTCACGCGTTTCGTGGCCCCATAGGGAACTGTACCGATGAGCCCATTGGCTGCGTTCGCATGCGCTCACCTCGCCCATTTTAGTATTTTCGTTTCAGGTTTCGTGGCCCTTTCGGGAGCTTCACCGAAGACGATATTCACAGCTGCGTCACTCACAGCTGCATATGGTTGGGTCCCCAGGCAAACTTACAAGGGAAAATATTCCTTCTCAGATTGCGCCCCTGGCCCTCGACTTACAACAACAACGGCTCCCGCCTGCGGCTTGAGAATCGCACTCTCGCACATAATTTCGTAATATTGCAGGAATAGCGCTCTCTGTGGTACTGTCTTGCAGTTTATTCAGATGCCGCCGTGCCCCCATGAATCAGGAATCACGCTCTCGCTTTGGAGTTTTGATGATTTACTTGGGAATCGTGTTGTCGCCAGAAATTTCCTTGCGATTCATGTTGTATTGACGCTTCAGTGACCCACCCGCCCGGGCTGGCCGTCCGGGCCCGCCCGCCCGACCTGCCTGCTAGGGTCGGCCCGCCCGACCCGCCGGTCTTGTTTTGCTCCTTGCGCTCCTGCTCCTTCCACCCCTCTTGTAGATCTCTATCGTGCTCCGTCCTTCTCCCTCCCCTTTGTCTTTTTCCTCCTTTCTTCCTCCCCCTGTTTTAGGGGCTGCGCCAACTACACGTAACAGGTGAGGAAGATATACCCCAAAGGGGGGTACGATCCAAGACGAGGAGGGCGGGTACCGAGGTCTTGGGATACTTGTGTTGAATGGCACGCGGGCGCATACGAGCGAACAGTCTTGACATTATTGTTCTTGTTGTTGGTGATAACGATGTCGGTGATAATGTTGGTAATGATCATGGCAGTGCTGATGGTGATGGTGATGGTGATGGTGATGGCGATTATGAGGCTGAGGATGATGTTGCTGCTGCTGATGATAGTCGTGGTGGTGGTGATGGTGGTGGCGGCGGCAAGCATGATGAAGATGAGGATGAATATGATGATGATGATGATGATGATGATGATGATGATGATGATGATGATGATGATGATGACGATGATGATGATGATGATGATGATTATCATGATGAATATGATGATGAAGATGATGATGATGAGGAGGAGGAGAATGATGATGCTGATGAGGATGATGCTGATGTTGATGCTGCTGCTGATGATGATGGTGGTGGTGGTGGTGACGACGACGATGATGATGATTACGATGATGCTGGTGGTGGTGGTGATGTAGTATGAAGGCAGGTGAGGATGATGGGGGTCGGCGGCGACGACGTCTTTGCCACCCCTATCCTGCCAATGCTCATGCTGCTTCTGCTTCTCCCTCATCAAACATGCTTGGCTTTTCCCGCTCCTGCTCCTGATCCCTCCTCCTGCTTAGTATCGTCGTCGTCGTCGTTGTCTTTCTCCTTCTTTTCTTCCTCCTCCTTGTCCTCCTCCTCATACAGTATGTCTCGCTCGTTACAATTCACCCCCGCCCTCCACTGATCCAACGCAACCCCGCACCAATTTCTTTGTGCTTCGTCTGAGTCCAGCGCAGTCCCGCACCCACTGGTCCTCGTAAAGGGCATGCGTGCGACAGGCGCACCCGCCTCGACGGCAGCCTTATTCGTTTGTCGCCCTTCCTCCTGCTCCTGTCCCTTTTTCTCCTTTTCCTCCTTGGGCGCCTCCTCCTCCCCCTGCCTTGTTCGGCCTCGCCCCCACGCTGCCAAGCTCCTTCTCCTGGTGTTGCCCGCCTTCCCGAGCTCGGGAAGCCAGGCGATGGGCTTCGTAGCCTGGATTGCTTGAAGCAGACCTGTAATCGGCGGCGGGGGGGGGCCTAAGGCCGCCCCCGCCGCCGCCGGTTTTTTTGTCAATGCGTGCCTTGAGTATGCAGCGGGGTGGCCGTACTCGAGAGATCCTGATCCTTGTGCTCCTGCGTGCACGTCCTGCCCCTCGTGCTCGTCCTGCTCCTTCTCTCCTCCTGGGGCTCCTCCCTGCCCAGCCCAGGACGTGCGCGAGAAGGGCACCGTGGGCGCCGTGATCGAGGCTCGCCTCCAGAATTTCAAGAGGTCGCCGCGGATTTCTTGGATCGGCTTTCGAGCCGGCGCCGCCAAGGGGGGTCCAGCGCCGCGCGGACATCCGGAACTTTATGTTTATGTGTGTCTTTCTTCCTCTATCCAGCTGCCTGCGACAAGTCCACCGTGCCAGCCCAGCATTCTGGGTTGCGGCTGTTCGCGGGGGCATCTGACATCGTCACGTTGGACAACTCGTGCCCCAAAGCTTGGGAGAGCTGCGATGCTGATGCTGATGATGATGAGGATGATAATGAGGATGATGATGCTGCTGCTGATGATGATGCGGCTGATGATGATCATGCTGATGATGGTGATGATGATTAGGATAAGGATGATGATGCTGATGCTGCTGCTGATGATGATTATGCTGATGATGCTGCTGATGATGATGACGATGCTGCTGCTGCGGATGAAGACGGTGGAGGTGGTGATTATGATGATGATGATGATGATGATGTTGATGACGTTGACGATGACGATGGCGACAATTGAAACAGCGACGATGATGCTGATGATAACGACGATGCTTACGATGAGTATGATGATGATGCTGCGGATTGCTGCTGCTCATGATGATGATGATGATGATGATGTTGATGCTGCTCATGATGATGCTGCTAATGATGATCTTGCTTCTGCTGATGATGACGATTATGTCAATAGTGATGATACGGATTCGGATGATAAATGATGATAATGATGATAATGATGATGATGACGATTATGATGATGATGATACTGATGCTGATGATGATGATGATGCCGATGCTGCTGCTGATGATGATGATGCTGCTGATTTTGCTGATGCTGATTATGATGCTGCTGATGATGATGGTGATGATGCTGATGATGCTGCTGATGATGATGCTGATCATGATGATGATGCTGCTGATGATGATGAGGATGACCATGATGATGCTGATGATGCTGATGATGACGGTGATGATGATGATGATGGTGATGCTGATGATGATGATGATGAGCATGATGATGATGATGATGAGGATGATGATGACGATGCTGCTGCCGATGAGGAGGATGGGGATGATGATAGTGATGATGATGGTGATGATGATGGGGATGTTGTGGTGGTGGTGGTGGTGGTGGTTGTGATACTGATGATGCTGATGATGGTGAGGAGGAGGAGGAGGTGGAGGAAGAGGATGCCGTTGTTGTTTATGACGTTGACGGTGCTGCTGCTGATGATGATGATTATGATGATGATTATGATGTTGATGCTGATGATGATGCTCATGGTGATGATGATGATGATGCTGATGACGATGATGACGATGATGATTACGATGATGATGATGATGATGATGATGATGATGATGACGATGAGTATGATGATGATGGTGGTGGTGGTGATGATGAAGGTGGTGGTGGTGATGATGATGATGATGATGTTGATGATGATGATGATGATGATGATGATGATGGTGATGATGATGATGATGATGATGATGATGGTGCTGATGACGGCGATGATGAGGATTTCTACCCGCGAGCGTACGCAACTCTACCCTTGGCCTCTCTGTTTGCCTGCACTATCTTTGGCGCTCTGCTCGGGCGCCACGTGGAGTTGGGTTGAACGCGTCTGCCCTACACTTCGGCCTGAGCCTCAAAACATGATGACCCCGCCAGTTGGAATCTGAGCTGACTCGGGGCTCTGACCTCCACGCGCGTCGACGATCAGGAACCATGCCTCCACAATCTCACGCCCCGTACCGCGGATTTCGTTCTCGATCTGCGGCCCGTGGGCTCGGCGACCACTTGTTGGGAAAATGGTCACCCGGGGCTACTTGTCCCAAAAAGTGGTCGCATGGGCTTCTCTGTCCCTTCTGGAGGCATTCCTGGTCTGTGCTCTTCCAGCACACTTCACACTTACACCGCAGAAACCATTCTCATGGCAGTAGCAAGTTAAAGACCAGATGCAGGTAAACGCACTTGGGCAGAACGAGATCACTCATTCCCCAGCGTCCGCAACGTTACACTGCGCCCCTTCCTGTGCTCAGCACGGTCCGGGAAGGCCAGCGATCAAGGTAAGCGGTCATCGTCAAAAATGAACTTAAGACTAATCCGATTTCCCGAAACGTTTCTGGCTAAATGAAACTGAGACTCTCAGCGCGGATGCGTCTCAAGGTTCGAGCTTTCAGCACCATCGCCAGCGCAAGCTTAACCCATGGGAGAGCTGGGTTGGAGGGGAGGGAGGGCGGGGAAATCGGAATGGATGACATAGTATGCGCAAGCTCAGGTGACACATTGCTGGCGACGACGCCCGTCGCATCCCGAACTTTGACCCACCACTCAAACTCTTGCCTGACGAACTGCGTGTGCAAGAGGACGCCTTGACTGCCACCCAGGACAACAGAAATCGCCAAGGAAAAGACTTTGGCGCATCGACGGCTGCGTGTTAGAGGATAGCGATTCGTAGGAGGATGCCTGTGTTGAGCGACAGCCGACCGCACCGTGCAAGGGGCCAGCCGGGGCGTGGTTGATTGGATGACGTGCAGTTTTGACGGCGCGTTTCTTTTTCACCCGAGCTCTGCATAGGGCCGACTTGTTCGATTGGGCGCAACGCAATGCGGAGTGTTCGCGAATGAGGCAGCCATCGGCGCCCCGTCGCGACCTGGCAGCCCACGTGGCGCAGCGATGCTCGTCGGCGACAGTGGCTGGCTTCTGCTGCTCGATCGGGTTGCTGATGGAGCCCCCTTGCCGACGAGGAGCAGCCCACCTGGGGAGCGTTGCCAGTTTGCGACCGCCTGCGAGCCCTACCCCTGTCAGCTTACATGTGGTTGCCCAACCAAGCTGGCAACGGTACCGCGTGCAGTCGGGTGTCTGTTCACGGGAGTTGCGCTGCGCTGTTGCCGTTGTCGACTTCCTTACAGCAACTGTGTCTCGCCATGAGTTTGGCTCACGCGTGCTTCACTGTTCGACAGTGCGATCGAAGCAAACAGGACCAGATGATGCTTATATATTTGGCTCTCGACAACTTCAACACTTGTCGAAGACGCCGTCGGCGAACCGCACCGCCCTCTGCCTATAGAGACGCATCTGTGGCTCAACGTTGGGCCAAGCTTTGTCCAAACTATTGGGCTATGTGCTCCCGATTAAAGCAGGCCTCCTGGGAACCTCTTCGGGGCGTCTTTGAGGCCTCTTGGCGGCCTCGTTGGGATTTCTTTGGGGCTTCTTGGGGCCTGACGGTCCGTCCTCTCGCCCTTGTTGACGCCTTCGAAGGCCGTCTTGGGAACTTCTCAGGGCCGTCTTGAAACGCTCTTCGGGCGCGAATCAGAGCTGTTTTGGGAGCCTCTTGGACCAGCGGGGCCCTTTTGGGGCCGTTGTGGGTCTACGTGAAAGAGAGCAGGTCGAGGAGGGGGCCGACGAGCTGGGGGCAGACGTAGAGGAGGAGGCGAACGAGGAGTCGGTCAGATGATGAAGAGAGCCTCGCCCGCGCCGCCATCGCCCGTCAGACCGTGCGGCAGAACCCGCTCCTTCTGTTGCCAGGCGGCTCGGTCCTCATGGTGGCGAAGGCCGCGATAAGGACGAGGATTGGGGGAACGGGGCGAGGAGAGGAGGGCGAGGATGAGCGTGCATTTACATGAGTGGAGGAAGGGGGGATAGTGAGGGTGAGCAGGGGCATGGAGACATGGCGGCCAAACACAGAGATGTGATGCTGATGGCGGAGGTGATGATGGCACTATGGTGACGATAGTGATGGTGACGATGATGCTGGTGGGTTGTGGATGGTGGACGGTGTATGGTGGATGGTAAATGGTTGATAACGGATGATGGAGATGCTGTTGCTGCTGCTGCTGCTAATGGTGGTGAATGATGATTATGCTGGTCCTGATTGTGGCGACCATGAAATTCGGATGATGATGATGGTGATTGTGGTGATAGTGTGATAGTGGTGATCGTGGTGACACGGGGATGGGCATGTTGCTGAGTTATTGCAGTTTGCTGCCGCCATGGTCAGTATCGCAGGCCGATCTATCACCGAGATGAGGAGGCCGGACTTCGAGCAACCAAGCTTGGACCCGCTTCTGGCTCCAGGATCCTCACAGAGCCAGCTCTGCCCAAGCATCATACCACGCGGAGGTCGGCTATTGCAGTTTGGCCCTCGCATGTCCCTGGGGTTGCTTGGTGCATGTTGCCGCCGCCATGCGTAACCGAAGTTCTTCATCGCTGTGGTGGACGCGCATAATACCAAATTGAGGTCTGCCACTCTCAGAAAGCAGAGGCACCAGACGAGCGCTTTGTGTCGCAAAGTGTTTGGGCCAAGAATGCACATACACATGTGCTGGCAGGGGCGCGACAAGGCACTTCTGGGACCGACGAGGGGCTCCGTTCCAGATTGAGCGTTCCTTATGGTAGCAGCTTGACCCTACGAGCGAGGAAGGCATGGCGAAGTATGAGGCTGGTAATCCTGCTGCTAATGATGGTGCGGGGGAGGGGGGTGGGGTAGGGCAGGACGGATGTAGAAGAGACGGATTTTGATGATGAGTGTTAATGGTGGCAATGCTGATAATGAGGATGATGATGGTGGGGTCGGTGGTGACGTTTGTGATGATGTTGGCTATTGTGGTGGTGGTGGTGGTGTTGGAGGAGGACGATAATAAGGAGCCATATGATTATGATGATGCTGAGGCTGATGCTGATGCTGAGGCTGTTGAGGATGATGATTATGATGGTGCTAGTGATGATGATGATGATGATGATGATGATGATGATAATGTCGATGCTGATGCTGTTGATGATGATGGCGCAGATGATGATGATGCTGAGGCTTATGATGATGATGATGAGGATGATGATGATGCTGTGTATGATTATTTGTTACGATGATGCTGGTGATGATGATGATGCAGGTGCAGATGCTGATGATGATGGTGGTGGTCCTGGTGATGCTGATGACAACACTGACGATGACGATGATGCTGTTGATGCTGTTGATGATGCTGATGATGATGATGATGACGACAGCGATGCTGCTGCTGCTGATGATGATGATGGCATGTTGATGGTGTTGTGGTTAATGATGATGATGCTGCTGCTGATTGTGATGATGCTGATGATGCTGCTGCTACTGCTGCCGATCATGCTTGTGATGCTGCTACTGCTGCTGCTGCTGCTGATGATGATGATGATGATGATGCTGATACGGATGATGATGACGATGATGATGACGAATGGCTATGATGATACCGATTACTATACTGAACGCAATGCTGATGATGCTGATGATGGTGATGCTGCTGATGCTACTGATGCTGTTGCTAATGATCATGATAATTATGACGATGCTGATGCTGATGCTGACGTTGATGATGATGACGATGATGACGATGATGATGCTGATGACTCTGATGCTGATAATGATGTTGTTGTTGTTGGTGGTGGTGGTGTTGATGTTGCTGATGATGATGGTGCTACTGCTGCTGCTGATGGTGATGATGATGATGACGATGATTCTGGTGGGTGGTTGCGGTGATGTGGAGGAGGAGGGGGAGTGTGATGATGGTGATGGTGATGATACTGGTTATGGTGATGATGATGCTGATGTTGATGATGCTGATGATGATGATGACGACGACACTGACGATGACGACGACGACGTGACAACGGTGATGATGACGACGATGATGGTGATGATGGTGGAAGTTGATGATTCTGATGATGATGAGGGGGAGGATGAGTATTCTGATGAGGATGATGATGATGATGCTGCTGCTGATGATGATGATGATGACGAGGATGGGGATGAGGAGAAGGATCAAGAAGAAGAGGTGGAAGGGGAGGATGTTATGACACACCCTCCCGTCCCAAGTTCCCTCGTCAGAAATCCCTACAAGCTATCCCTGTCGCTACAAGAGTTGCTCCTTTGAAACACTAGCACCCCATGGGCCTGCCATTCAGGCGAGAGCCTCACTTTGAACAGGAATCGCCTTGCACCTGTCTAGCGAATCACACGATATGCCAGGTGTCTGGCGAGATTCCCGCTTTGCAGCAGGACCGCCCCAATTTGTGTAAGTGTTGTACCAGGTTGCACTTGCGGCCGTCATCATCGAGAACACCTCAAGCGAGAGCCCCTTCTTGAACAGGAAGCATCGTCCCTCCATGACCTGTGACATATGTGTTCATGTACTCAGAAGTCCCAAGCGAAAGCCCCATGTTGAAAAGAATTTGTCCTTCATTCATGTCAGTGTTACTATGTTATACGACGAATGTGCGCGGCGCTCAGGCGAAAGCCGCTTTTTGAAAAGGAGCCGCACTCCACGTTGGAGCTTTTGCAACTTTTGAAGATCAATGTGCGCGGCGCTGAGGAGACGCACCTACGATTGATCTTGAAGACGACCCGCCCTCCATCCATGAAGCAGCTGCGATTTTTCAAGACGAATGTGTGCCGCGCTCCAGAAGAAAAAAACTCCATTTGGAAAACGACCTGCCCTCCATCCTTGAAGCTTCTGCAAGCTTTCAAGACGAATGTGCGTGGCGCTCCGGCCATAACCCAATTTTGAGAACGACCCGCTCTCCATCCTTGAAGCTCATGCGAACCTCTACGACGATTGTGCGACGTGTTGAGGTGAGAACCCCGTTTTGAAAACGACCCGCTTTGCATCGTTGAAGCTGATGAAACCTTAACGAATGTGCGCGGTGCTCCTGGCAGAACACCATTTTGAAATCGACCCGCCCTCCACCCTTGAAACTCATGCAAGCACTTCAGACGATTGTGCACCGTGCTGAGGATAGAGCCGCATTCGAACTTTTGCCATATTTGAACACCCGCTTGCATCTTTGAAACTTTTGCAAGCTTTGGAGACGAGATCTCAATTTGACATGTTTTTAACGCCCTCCATCCCCGAAGCTGCAGCACACCTTTAATTCAGGACGATTGTTCTGCGCGCTGAGGCGAGAACCCGACTTACAGCGATCCACCTACATCCGTGTGTCTGTTGCGAATTGCACGCGTCAAAATCATAAGTGATGGGGAAACCTCAGGCGAAACGGCTGGCGCGCCCTCCCGATACGCTTGGGGGTGCGACAAGGAGGAGTTATCTATAAGGAACAGTAATCCAATATGATGATGATATTAGCAGGAAGAGAGGGGAGGAGGAGGAGGAGGAGGAGGAGGAGGAGGAAGAGGAGGACGAGGAGGAGTGGGATGAGGGGGAGGATGATGGCGGGGAGTGGGAAGAGGAAAAGGACGGAAGACAAAGGACACGAGGAAGATGAGGAGGAGGAAACGGAGGTGGAGGAGGAGGATATGATAAGTATGAGTCAATGCGCTCCTTCCGCACCACCATCCTGCTGCTTCTCTTGCTTTCTTACTTTTGCACAGCTTGGGTTGTCTGTTACTTTACAGCTGTTTGGCTCCAGGGAAACAGAATAATAACGTGCCTGCGACCGCCCGCGCGTGCGTCGGCCGGCGGGCCGGCCTCCTCCCTTCAGGGCTACCCTATTACTAACTTAGCGGCATTCGTCTTTCTTCCCATGTCATCGGCGAAGCCCACTGAGCATGAGACACCAGCGGAACACAGCAGGATTATGCATATCCAGGCAAAATACTGGTTATCAGCCGAAGCGACGGCTCAGCCGTTAGCTTCGCTGAGCATGTTATCGCAGGAAGGAGCGCTCGGATGATCGACGCATCTACGCCGTCCCGAGCGTATTGATGAAGTAGACACTTCTATGAGGCGACCTCATTCTCTCAATCTTCCCAGAAGGCAAGCGTTGGAATCTGTGTTCGACTTGAGGGAAAGGGATTCCCAAGTTGACTCATTGACACGGACTAGAGCACAAACCCGGGGCGGAAGGTATGGCTAAGCCAAAATTTCCGCCGAAGGGCCGCCCGAGATAGCACGAGTGCACCCGAACTTCCAATTATTGATTGACTTAGATTATGAAATGGAGAAATTGCCAGAAACTGTTCCCATATAAGTGCAAGACGATTGAAATTGCAGCACGGAGCAAGCAACACAGTTTGTGATGCATGGCCAGGGGGAGGATGTGAGCGATTTACATTCAGGAAAATATAATTCGCTTTCAATTGAGAAAGATGAAGCATATGCTCAGCTTCATACCTCGCCTTGCCTATCGCACCATCTAGATCCTCTCCCAGCTGGGCCCGACGGGATCGCCTCAGGCGCAGATCCGTCTGAGAACGAAACAGTTGATTATGCAGCGGCCGATGCACTTCGGAAAGCCCGTTCTAGATTCGGATGATGAGTTCGGGGATGAAGAATGCCCCAACCAAGACAAGAGTTCGTCGGCTCAGCCGGTGTTGAGCTCGCCTAAGGTCTCACGTACAGTCAGGCATACAAGAGAGTCAGGAGGTACAGCTCCGCTTCCATCGACAAAGAAGTCTAAGAGTGAGGGTTGCGATCTAAATGTTTCGCCTTTGCCGCAAGGTTTTGACCGACCAGACTTCGCACTGCCAAGTCCCAGAAGGGACAGGGTGCCAAAGCTTGATGAGCTTGTGATGCAGGACAAAGGAGATGAGCCAGCCCAGAGTCAGGATGTTGATTTCACT